ATATTCAGACTAATGGTCTATATTTTAATACTGCTGTTAAATTAATGTTACATTATTAGCTAAATTATTCATTAGCACAACAGTAGCTTAGTTGTTTTCATAATAGAGTAATTTTCCAGCAACAAGCACAAACTTTCTAACAAGTACCAGTCTAATGCTAATTTATGATTTTTAAAATGTTTTTTTTATGTTGCATATGCTTTACTGTCGCGCAAAACAATGATCAAACAAGCTTGTCTTAAGCTAAGACAACATAGCCATGGACTGACCATTGGATCTTTATTTTGCATCACAATGGCAATTTTTTTAATTATTTTTGGATGGACAGAAATTCTTATCATCAAATGTTTACATATGTTCAGATGGTTATTAAAGACGGTCACACCATTATCTGATTTGTTGCAAATTTCAGACAACCCTGCTAATTAAACAGCTATGGTTTATCATTTTGCATGTCGGTTAGACAGTCTTTTACTGTTTAAGTAGACGTTCTCGGTCAGTCCAGACTTGATGTTTATCAAAAGGGTAGCTTGAATGTAGTTGAACTACTGTAAATTATTGGCTTCCCCATCGGTGCTCAAAAATCATCTTGTTCTCTATACAACTGTCATTCTGTTTGCTTAGAAGTGCTTCTAAGACATCTTATTTCCAAGGACTGCTTGAATAAACAATAATTAACATTTATGGAAATCAGAGAAATTGACTGGTGTGTAACTTATTATGCAAACAACATGAGTAACCTTGTAGCTGTGACATCCAAGGTTGTGACATCTGGCAGTTTCATGTGTAATGGGCTTACCGCGGCGCTACTGAAAACATCAATGTTACTGACTGAAATTGACTCAGTTTGATACAGGATGTCCTTTGTGCGTTTCGAAAAAAGATCTGGCTGTTGATTTTATTTTATGACCAAATGACTCATGTTCTATCATGTTTTTTTTTTTTTTTTTTTTTGTGGTATTCATTGTTGTGCGACAAACCTGAAAAATAATCTTCAGTGTGCAGTAGTGGTATTATGGCACATAGCAGCTGTGTGTGACCTCAATAAAACAAAGACCCTGGTAACGTGAGCAGAATTTTCTTCATGCTACCAGTGCCAGCAGATGTTTGATATACCGGAATCCATTTTTCAAATTAAAAGCTCTCCTCATCACATAATTAGCTGGGAAAGCATGCCAGGTCAATATCACAGCACTGGAGTGAGAGTCGATCTAATTTGCCTGACCAGTAATATGGCTTTTTGGCAAGCATGCTGAATTTTGCTTCACTAGGCTGGTTCTTTTCACCAATTTTAGGATTTCAATTTCCTTTGTGATTTATTTATGGGCAATAAATATGAACTGAAGTACCACTTATATATATATTTGTAACCTGTCCCATAAAGGTGCATCATCCATTTGGATTTATGACCACTGTATATGACGTGGATCCTACAGTGAGCGGTTTGAGAGGTCCGGGCTTGTGATAGTTAGTTGACTGGAGCTGGAGCTCAAGTGATGAGGTTATCAGAGAGGTCACTGGCCCCGTTTGACAGAGACGCTGATGGATTTTCCCTCGGCTCTGTTCCTGCCATTTCCATTCCTTTCACACACGCACTCCCACAAATCATTATCATTTCCTCTTTTCCCCCTCTTCAGTATCAAAGAACCCTTTTAGGTATTTTAATTTTTGAATGGCTTTAGTTATACATGTTATTTTATTCCCTTTGGCAGTTAATATATGCAATTATATAATGCATTATTTTAACTTAGTAACTTTAGTCATTTTAACTGACTGAAAAACAAACCTTTTAAGTTACCTTAAAACATATTAACCACATATATATTGCTATTCAGTATATTGCCTATGTGCTAAAACTAGTTAAAAAAAGAAGGAAGAAAAATGTAGCAATGCAAGTTTTTCTAAAGTATCAGTAGTACAATCTTAGTATTTTTTATTTTACACTGTAGCTGACTTTTTTTTTTTTTGCACCAGTCGTTATTAAGTTCCCTTTCATGGGAACTTCGAACTGCATCCTCTAGGGGTCGCTATGGGGGAACGTGACCCGTGACCGTGTCTGAAGCATACATTGAAAAAACACCAACTCGTTGGCCGGCGACAGCCATGACGTCACTATAGTATAAATAGGCGCCGGGAGCACACATCATTCTCTTCTTCGTCTTCATTGACTGTTTTGTTTGAAGCGTGCATTTCTGTGGTAAGAGCGATCTCTATTCATCTCATTATGGCGAGCACTAGCAAAGCGTTTAAGGATGTGTGCATCCGTGTTGACGTTGTTTAACATCTGATGACACACACGATCTATGCGTTATTTGTTTGGGCGAAGAGCATGCACGCGATGCCTCCGAGGGGGCAATCGGCGCGCACTGCAAGCGTTTTTTCCAAGGGAAATTTCCTGCATTATAGTCTCCTATGCTGGACCTATTAGGTTTGGTTGGTTCTATGGCTTCATAGTGACCATCTTACTCTAGGTCTAGAGGCTTCTTCGGACAGAGCACCGACGCGGGAACCATGGTGGGTGAGTACGATCCATGTCTAAATATATGTATATATAAATATATATATGTGTGTATCTAATGAGCTGGTGGTTGTGTGTATAACCCTTCTTCTAGTTTCTTTGCAGTGTTTCCCGGGACCTGTGTGTTTCTGTCCCTTTCTAGGGTAGGTCCTCGATGGGCACCCCCTCTGCTGGGTTCAGAACCGGGTGCTCGACTTGCAGTGTTTATTTCACTCGTCGATATATGTCCAGAAGGTAAGTAAAGCCGGGTTTCGGCTTCATACTTCCTGGACCATGCGGCCATAACACAGGCTTCTGCGGGAGCCTTACGCACAACATCTTTGTGCTCTTTCTGAGTGGTTTAAAACCCCGGTTCCGCCTTGGGCACCACTCCTCCTATGTATCCTCTGGATACCTACTTGCAATAGTTCCACTTTAGCACAATCAAATATACTTCAGTGTATCTTTAGTTGAACTTCATCACTACTTCCGTACAATTAAAGTGCATTATGTACAAAATTAGCTCTTCCAATTTAGCAGACTTTATGTATACCAGTTTAGTGATAATCGGAAAGGGAAAAACTAAATTCAGCTGACTACGCCACCCTGTCCAACAGGGAAAATTTATTATGAATTGATCACCTACAAAGGGCACACAGGAACGTGGTTTCAAAGACAGACACCTGAGATGTGGATACCAAAGTACAAAAGCTTTATTTCAACAATAATCAAGCACTGATCTTAAAAATTCATTAAACTGTAGACCAGATTAGATTTACAAGCATTGAATACATAAGAAACAAACAAAATCCGAGGTTTACCTATGGCAGGTAAGCTAGTTTACTGAGCGCAAGGCTCCTATAAATCGCAAAAATCTTACCACCAGGTGCACAGGTCTCACTACACCACACACACAAACCCATACACACTCACATTAAGATCAAGCGTGAACACACTGCACTCCGTGACAGAGTCCCACCACTGCACACAAGGGCCTACTAGCGGCCTGCCTGGAAGCCTCGGTTCCTGCAACAGAAGACAAAGTTAACCAAATAATCTCAAAACAAAAGAAATAATGCTAACAATTGTACAATGCTTAACACTTAAATGCAAAATCCAAAAGAAAATCAAGATCATATATCATATATATATATATACATACAACAGTTTGTTCTGTTTCTGTGAGATATTATACTGGTATCGCCCTTTCACTGTTTGTATCACTCCACTTCAATATTTCTCACAGCGAGTGTCATGGCGGACACCCAAATCCACAAAATTTTTTAAATAATATTGTTTTTGTGTCACGGAATGTAGTTTTAATAGTTTTTTTAGGCGAGAATGTACTTGTTTAGACTACAAATATACGGTTTGTTAATAAAGATAACGTCTATTTGATTGACGTTGATTTGATTGATCTCCAGGCCGTCAGCGGCCGTTCAGCGCTCATGAACCCGCCGAGAGCAGCCTCACCTCGGCCAGATCTTCTGGAATTTGGAGCTGGCTCTGATGTCTCTATAGTGGTTAAACATGAGATATAATTCGTTTTGGGTAAATCTGATGGGCAGTCTTTGGTCTTATTAATCTATTATTTGTTCCAGAGCAAATAGTTTCGGCTGAAGGCAAAATCTCATCACGTTATATTTGAACTTTAATGTTGTATATTAGAGCATGGCTTTTATGATGGCTGTTGTTGTTGTTTATTATTCAATAAATAATATTTTATAGTAGTATTTAGAATTGGGAAACAGTGTGTGTGTTCGTGATTTTTGTGACATTGTTCCACCATTAGATGGCGACAAGATACTGTTTTATGAGTCAGCATTTAAGACTTTTATATTGAAAGAGACTGAAATGGAAGTCATTTTTACTTTTAAATGCAGTGAGCAGTGCTGTCATCAGAAATCACCCTTAACAGATGAAAGGACAGTATAACAAAGATATTGCTTTCCTCAGCGGACATTCAAACTAATGTTTTATTGTGAAGATGAGATTGAACTGATGACTGAATGCTGTATCAGATGCAGGTAATCACACTCGCTCAGTCCATCTCTCTCTCACAATACTCTACATAATACAGTGAGCTTTTAATTAAGTAATAAAAATAAGTTTTTAATGAAGCAACTCAACGTTCCTTCGTTACTTTCGGTAGTTCTAAAGGGAATTAGTAATGGAGGCTTGAACTCAGCTGTTAAACTGTCAAACTGAGATTTAAATATGTGGTGGAAGGAAATAGTTCTGCACAAAAGGTTTTTTAAAGACACTCCATTGTTGTTTTTCTTATATATTTACACTCGTGACGTCAAACTGTTGTATAAACGCAATATCACTCTTGTACTCGAGCGATACCGGCTCTATATCAGTGGCTGTGATTGCCTCTGGCCTAATCACAGCCATGCTGATATAGAGCCGGTGTTCTGAAATATTCGTCCCCATGGGAGTATTTAGCAGAGCTCCCCCTTTTTTCTCAAAGGGTTACCTGGAATGAGCAACACTATTCCTCTCACATGAGAAGTTTGAGTTCTCTGTTTCTCCAGAGCACCTGGAACCAGCAGCATCAGACGATTTAGGCCCTTCCTCTACCTCCCTGATGCGCTGAGTGTTTGGCTAGCTTGCAGTACGCTTACCCTTCT